TCGGGTCTGGAGTGATAGTACAGTAGGTAGAACTGTAGGAACTCTTTCTTCCCTTGCAGATAACCTGGGTTCAATTCCCGGCATCCTATATGGTCCCCTAAGCCCTACAAGGAGTGATTCCTAGGTGTAGGGCCAAGAGTAAGCCCTGTAGTAGGTCTTATACCACCACCAAGTAGGTTACACCACCAGGCTGTGACCTAAAAACAAAACCACCTTTTCTTTGGTTTTGTTTTACATCAGGGAATGTAGTTTAGTGGTACAGTATAAGCGTGTATGTTTAGGAACCTGGGTTCAATTCCAAGTAGTAAGTAAAAGTAAAAGTAAAGGCCCTCCCGTTGATCATCGATTTTCTCGAGCGGGCCCAGTAACATCTCCATTGGAGACTTTGTTGTTACTGTGTTTGGCATATCGAATAATCTCGGTAGCTTGCCAGGCTCTCCGAGAGGGGCGGAGGAATCGAACTCGGGTCGGCCATGTTGGCTACTTGTAAGGCAAACGCCCTACCGCTGTGCTATCGCTCCAGCCCTATAAAGGTAAAGGCCCTCCCGTTGATCATGGATTTGCTCGAGCGGGCCCAGCAACGTCTCCATTGGAGACTTTGTTGTTACTGTGTCTGGCATATCGAATACTCTCGGTAGCTTGCCGGGCAATTCCAGGTATCACACAAAAAAAATTATGATCAAAGGTGAAAAATACTAAAAGTTGGGGTTGGAGAGACAATACAGGATGTAAGACAGTTGCCTTGCATATGGCTAAACCCAGTTTGATATTCAATACCACAGGATCCTCCTAAGTACAGCTCTGGATGTGTTCAAAAACCACTGGAGTAATCCAGGTAATCCCTAGCATTGCAAGGCCCAGCAGCACCACATATTCTTGGATCCCTGCACTGAACCTGTACAACTGGTGACAAAGAACTGCTAAAAGGGTGCCCAGGACTATTTGGAGACAACCTCCCCAAAATTATGTATATATATATCACTGTCACTGTCCTCCTGTTGTTCATCAATTTGTTCAAGCGAGCCCAGCAACGTCTCCATTTTGAGACTTGTTGTTACAGTGTTTGGCATATTGAATACATTATGGGTAGCTTGCCAAGCTTTGCCGTGCGGGTGAGATACTCTCGGTAGCTTGCGAGGCTCTCCGAGAGTAGTGGAGGAATCGAACCCGGCTGGGCCGGGCTGGCTGTGCACAAGGCAAACGCCCTACGGCTGTGCTATTGCTCCATATATATATATATGTGTGTGTGTGTGTGTGTGTGTGTGTGTGATATATATATATATATATATATATATATACATACATATATATCACTTGATCACTTGACATCCCATTATTCATTGATTTGCTCAAGCGGGCACCAGTAACATCTCCATTCATGCCTGTCGCGTACAATGTAGCCCAATGGCATCTGCTCATTCTAGGAACATGAAGAGCCTCAAATCGATCGTTCAGGGTCTTGACGAAGAAGTCTGACCATCTCATAGGTGGGCGGCCACATGATCTTTTGATGTCCCATGGAATCCAGTCAGTAATGGCTCTAGTCCAGCAGTCATCTCCAAATCTCATTACGTGTCCAGCCCATCTGATTTTCGACACCTTGGCAAATGAGACAGCATCCTTGATTCTTGACCGTCAATGAAGGTCGGAACTTCAGATTCTTTCTCTTATTTGAGTGAAGCGTGATACTCCAAGCATAGCTCTTTCGATTCCTCTTTGGGAGACTCGAATAGTGTTCTCATCATGTTTGCGTAGGGCCCAGGTCTTTGAGGCGTATGGTAATGCAGGAAGAACAGATGTGCCCGGAGACAGAGGTTCTTTGTCCTCTTAGCTATTTCTTCAACGTTCTTGAAGGAGTTCCAAGCCGCTCTCTTTCTCCTGCGCAACTCAGGTGCCAGGTCATTTGTCATGTTGACTTCTCGACCTAGGTACAAATAACTGTTGCATTCGGAGATGTTCGTCCCATTGATAGTGAATGGAAGGATTTAGCACAATCGACCATATCTACATGATAACCAAGCTCATTGAGGTTTCTCGGGAGTTCAAGACGCCACTCTGTCTAACGTTCATTGATTTAAAGAAGGCCTTTGATTTTGTTGAGACTGAAGCGGTCATCGAGGCCCTAGCCAAACAGGGAGTTCAAAGTCAATACATCAGGATCCTCCATGAGCTGTATTGTGGATTCACTACCAGGATCTCACCATTCTACAGGGATGTGATCATTGATGTCAAGAGGGCTTCAGCAGGGTGATACTATTTCACTGAAACTCTTCAGTGCCACCCGTGAGAACGTCATGCAACGACCGAAATGGGAAGGAATGGGAGTGAAGATAGACGGTCAGCAACTATACCACCTCCGCTTCGCTGATGACATCATTCTTATAACACCAAACATCAGCCAAGCAGCACAAATGCTAGCCGACTTCGACTGTAAGTGTGGAAGGGTCGGACTACAGCTGAATCTAACAAAGACAATGTTTATGAGAAATGGTCTCGTTCCTGACGTTCCATACATATATAAGTAAATAGCAAATTGTTAGACATAATACATATGACAAATCAAAAACTGTGAGGGCTTAATATAAACTAGATTTTATAAAAGTCAAGATTTATAGTGTCTCAGTACGCTGTACAATGGCCACAAGTTCCTCCCATTCCTAATATACTTTACTTTACAGGGAAGAGGCTGAATTTCTCTCCCTCCTAAAATTGTGGCTGGCCCTGTACCTAGTTATAACCAAAGAGAAATTATAAGCACAATGTATGCTTGTAGAATGTATGCTTGTAGAAATTATAAGCACAATGTATCCTGGTAGTGAATCCACAATACAGCTCATGGAGGATCCTGATGTATTGACTTTGAACTCCCTGTTTGGCTAGGGCCTCGATGACCGCTTCAGTCTCAACAAAATCAAAGGCCTTCTTTAAATCAATGAACGTTAGACAGAGCGGCGTCTTGAACTCCCGAGAAACCTCAATGAGCTTGGTTATCATGTGGATATGGTCGATTGTGCTAAATCCTTCCATTCACTATCAATGGGACGAACATCTCCGAATGCAACAGTTATTTGTACCTAGGTCGAGAAGTCAACATGACAAATGATGCTGCTCTTTGGCTTTGAAACCAGTGTCCCTTGAGTTTTATCACTTCTGAGCACTTCAAGGTCATGTACAGAGTTCTTCTGTCTCCCAGTTTTGAATCTTCATCCATCCATCCTCCTTTGCTGGAAGGAGGTGGGAGGACTCTCCAGGGGTTGACACCAGTTCTGTGCTGTGTCCACCATGGTAGATGGCATAAACATATGATAACCAAAAATTAATTTGTTGAGATTTTGTGAAGATACCCATGTTAGATGATAGTCTCGCATATTGCAGAGTGTCTCAGCTAAGCCCAAACTGAAAATCCACAGAATAATTAACTAAGGATTAATAAGTTATCTAAGCCTCTAAATTTTAAAGTGGTTTGTTCAAGGTAAAAGTTAACTAAGGAGGGGCTGGAGAGATAGCACAGCAGGTAGGGCATTTGCCTTGCACGCAGCCAACCCAGGTTCAATTCCCAGCATCCCATAGGGTCCCCTGAGCACCGCCAGGAGTGATTTCTGAGTGCAAAGCCAGGAGTAACCCCTGTGCATCACCAGGTGTGACCCAAAAAGAAAAAAAATGTTAACTAAGGAGGAACGCAAAGGCATGGAAAAACAAATGAACACAAAATGAGCATGAAAAAACAATGAAAAAAATTCTGAATGGAGAGAAAGAACACCCCAGATACACAGGTAAACTGGTTCAGCCTGTAAAAATCAGATTACAAAGAGGATAGAATTTATTATAAGTCAGTTGGCAAAAGGAATCAATGAAGGATGTCAGTGTAGAAGAAAATTTAACACATAAGTAAAGGAGGCCAGTTAGGAGACAAGTTGATGAAATAAAATTCTCTCTCCTAGATTCCGGAGAGAAGCTACATATCAGTGACTAAAAACAGAAACAGAAATTGTGCAGATAACCTAATGAATAGCAAAGAACTGCAAAATAATATATGGGAAAAAACCAAAGCAATGGTACAGCAAGTAGGGCTCCTGCCTTGCATGTGGAAAACCCAGGTTCAATTCCAGGTACCCCAGATGGTCCCCTGAGCACTGCCAGGAGTAATTTCTGAGAACAGAGCCAGGAGTAACCCCTGAGCGTCTCTGGGTGTGGTCCAAAAACAAAGCAAAAACAAAACAATAATAATAATAATAATAATAATAATAATAATATCTGGGGCTGGAGCGATAGCACAGCGGTAGGGCATTTGCCTTGCACGCAGCCAACATGACCGACCCTAGTTCAATTCCTCCGCCCCTCTTGGAGAGCCCGGCAAGCTACCGGGAGTATCTTGCCCACACGGCAGAGCCTGGCAAGCTACCCGTGATGTATTCGATATGCCAAACACAGTAACAACAAAGTCTCCAATGGAGACATTACTGGGCCCTCTCGAGCAAATCGATGAACAACGGGAGGACAGTGACACAGTGACAGTGACAATAATATGTGAGAAGGAGTGTGGCGAAAACTCTAAGGGCTAAGCATATGCCTTGCATGTACTGGATCTAGAATTTATCTCTGCCACCACAAGCCCTGAGTCAGACAGAGAGCTGGTCCTGTGCATCAATGCATCATCAGGCTGAACACTGAACCATCAGGCCCATACCACCAGGACAAGAATCAGCCCAAAGAAAACCTGGAACCCTGAGCACTACTTGGGAGGTTACGAATAATAACAACAAAATACAATTTTATACATGGAAATATATATTGAGTGGAATAAATACCAATTAAACACTGTGAAGAAATATTTACTGAATTAGAATATTCTGAAAAAGAAACTATCCAAAATTAAGCATATAGGGAAAAAGACAGAAAGCAGAAAGCAGGGAACCACTGAGCTATGGAATATTATAAAAAAAAATCTAACAACCATATAGCTGAAATTTCAGAAGGAAAGAACATAAAAGTTTGCTTACACTTTTATTTTGTTGTCAGTTACTGTAACCATAATGTCTTGTAAAGTTCCTCTCCACTTTAGCAGTTATTTTAATTTCTGGATACATTTATTGGGCCCAGAAAGATTTCATGCTGGAAAAAAAAAGAAGAACATCTCTGAAATTTACCCAATTTTTATAAAAATTAAAAATGCACTCAATACCCCCATTATAAGATAAAAGATCAGATGCTTTCAAAGTCATCATGATCTATTCTGTATCATGATCTAAATATCTGATCTAAATTTAAATATGTGATCTAAATTCAAAATATATTAGATGTACACTAGCTATCTCTACCTCAAAAGTTAAAGTAATACATTTTCACATTCTAAAACATTATCTAAATTATGGGGTGGGAGTGTTTTCTTTGTAATGCTAGAGATTAAACTCCTCTCTTGCACCTCTTGCACATAAGGCATACATTTTAACTAATAAACCACATCCTTAATCCCTAAATTGTTTTAAAACCAGCTGAGGCCTAGACACAAATAAGCTGAAGTACTGACACACAAAGATTACTCACCAGCTAAATTTTTTAAGACATCTAATAAATACTAATACAAATAAAATAGCCCTCAAGGGATTCTTTTCCTTCCATCTTTTTTTTTTTTTAAATGAGGGCATCCCTAAAGGGTTAATAAAGAACAACACACAAGCTTATTTGTGGAAATAACTATTTGCTGACACGAACAGAAAATTTAGTCACCACTCATATTGTGCCTTCTAAACTTTCACAGAAGCTAAATTATACTTCCAGAAGCATGCACTCTCTGTGATCAATAAATATATAAAAGAAAGTAAAAGAACTATTAAAAGTTAAGACACTTTATAAATGAATATGGTTACAATTACTGACAACTTAAAAAGAGTATAAACAAATATTTCTCCTTCCCTTGGCTACAAATACTAGCAACACATAAACAGATTCTTCCTATATAGGAGCGATAGCACAGCGGGTAGGGCATTCGCCTTACAAGCGGCCAACATGGCCGACCCGAGTTCGATTCCTCCGCCCCTCTCGGAGAGCCCGGCAAGCTACCGAGAGTATTCGATATGCCAGACACAGTAACAACAAAGTCTCCAATGGAGGCGTTACTGGGCACACTCGAGCAAATCGACGATCAACGGGAGGGCCTTTACCTTACCTTACCTATATAGGAAATACAATGTAACGTACATGGTAACAGCATAAGGAAACTAGACAAAACTACTTCCTGGTTAAAGTCTACCACAGCCAAATCAACCCGAAAAAGCAGTCTATCTTTTTCAGTCCTGCCATCAAGACAAATGAAAAAAAAAAGAAAGAAAAAGAAAGAAAATCAATACAGAATTTACTTTGTAATGATCTCCTTTGTAACAATCTTCTTTGTGACTGAACATTAAGTATTTGCATTCCCCTTTATAAAAACAGAAAACTAAGGCAAAGAAATATTATATAATCTAAGATCCTTTAATATGTTATAGTGGAGTGAAAACAGATTCAAGTCTTATCTAGATACAGAAATAAGTTTATACTTATTTTGTAAGCATTTAACTAAGAGATATTTAGACGAATTTAGCTATCTTAGCCCTATATTTTAAACCCAAAATTATGTACCAGAATACAGAGCATATATTTTTCTGACTTAAAAGTGCATGTATATTTTAAAGCTTAATTTATATTCATCTTTATGTTCAAATTGTATCCTAATTACTTATACATTTCATGACTCACCTTCATGACTTTTTTTTCCCAGTAACTCACTTAAGTTACTGGAAAAAAAAAAAGCTAGAGATTGTCTGGTACTTATCCTTACATATCTGGGCTATTGGTAATGCCTACTCCTAACTTCTGATGTTCAGAGAATATAAAACATCACACAAGAACTCTATCAGTAGCAGCCACACGACATCTCATACTCTATACCACTGATTACCAGGAGTAGCACACACTGGATAGGATGTAAGGTAGAAGGCAACCCATCCCAATTAAAAAAATGCTAGCCCACAAGGCTCAACCTGTAACATGTTAGTAATTTCTTAACAAGGGCTCAATACTCCAGGGTTGAGATATAACAATTTTCATACAATTTCTTCTAAGGAAAACTTTTTTGATCATTTTTAGAGAATTATTCATAACAAGCAATACAAAATAAAAATTATTCAGGGCCTGCTATTGGGGCAGGTTTGTGTGGTCGTTTGAAAAATTCAAAATAATGGTGATAGGATTGGTGTTGGAATATTAAATGTAATTAACTATTGTGAACAACCTTATAAAAGTGAAATTAAAATTTTTAAAAATGAACAAAGTATTACTAGGCTATAATAATCCAAAGTATAAAATATCCATAAATTCATAATAATAAAAATAGTTTAATGAAAAAAAAAAGAACTCTACCAGTGTTCAAGCAACTGCAAGCTGAAAGAACCCAAACTAGAAACCTATATTGTAAGGAGAGACAGACTTCTCTAAAAGTTCTCAAAGTACTTTTGAGATGGGGCTGGAGCAACAGCACAGCGGGTAGGGTGTTTGCCTTGCAGGCGGCAGACCCAAGTTCAATTCCCAGCATCCCATATGGTCCCTTGAGCACCGCCAGGTGTAGTTTCTGAGTGCATGAGCCAGGAGTAACCCCTGTGCATTGCCAGGTGTGACCCAAAAAGAAAAAAAAAAAGTACTTTTGAGAACCAGTGTTTTGAAAGGATCAGTCTAAAACTTTCAGGAATAGTGTGAACATTTCATGTTTTAAATTCAAAACCATTTATTTAAAATTACTGAGCTAAATATAGCCATGAGGCCATAATATAACCACTATGTAAATAGCATGAACCCTTATGTGTGATAAATAAAAGACTTTCTGAACCCACCTCCCACAGTTAGGTCTAATCTGTTACACAGATCATGTAGTAGTCTTCATTTTCCCTTCATAATACTTGGAACACTTGTAATTCCTTATTCTACAACTGTATGTGCCCTCTATGTTGCAAGCTATAAAAAGCGGTTATATCTTTTTAGGTGCTGGATTTCTAACCCCCAGCACATAAAATGGCAAATGCCTAAGAAATATTTCATGAATGAATGTATGAGGCTATTGCAATCACTCATAGGAGAGAGTTTAATTCAGAGAAGCTAAAGTGGTAATAGTAGAAATGAAGTAAAAGCAGGAGAAAGAGAAAACCAAAAATATGAGATTTTTGAGCTTTAGAGAATGATTTCATGGTGATACCTTCATTAACAGAATTAAACAAATGAAAAGCTGACTTTATTTGGACATGCTGAATATTTGAGGTGGTAGACGATTCCAGAAGAAATGAACTTCTTGTCTATTATCTATCATATAACTTAGCTTCCAGATGAGTTTTTCAAGTCAAACTTTACAAAAGGTAAAGTTCACATTTTCATTTTTATTCACTTTTTCTTAATTTCTTCCCCCATCTCTGCCTTATTGATCATTAGAAAATGCTGCCATAAGATGTTTTAGAAACTGAGAGGCCCAGCAGATCAAGAAAAAATTCAGGGGCAGGGGGGCATTTCCAGGCTTTTATGAGATGTAGAAAATTAAAAGATAAATATTACCAAAAATAGTGTTTAGATGATCATATGATTAGAAAAAGATGTAATGTAACCACTACTTTAATACGAAAGGCAATTACCTACAAACTTGTACAACATACAAGCAAATATGAGTTAAGCAGATTCCCAGTTAAAAATAGATGTAATGGAAAATAAATCCTAATTAAAATACTTAAAAAGCCACTATAATCTTTCAGCCCAAGCCACCATCTTTCAATAATACACCAAACCAAAAATCACAAAAGGAAAGAGGAGAGGCAATCATTGTCTTTTAGAAAATGAGTTATTCCTTTAGCCACACGTATGAAATTCTAAGAAAGGTGTTAGAGTAGACAGCAAGAGAACAAGCACTATCCAAAAAGGGATGTTCCACAAACATTATTTAAAAGTGGAAGAATCGAAGATGATACCTAACATTCAATAGGCAGTGCTATAAACAAACAAGTTCAAGGTTTGTTTTGATTTTTATTTTGTTTTTTGTTTTTTGCTTTTTGGGTCACACCCAGCGATACTCAGGGGTCACTCCTGGATCTGCACTCAGGAATTACTCCTGACAGTGCTTGGGGGACCATATGGGATGCTGCGAATCGAACCTGGGTCAGCTGCGTGCAAGGCATATGCCCTACCTGCTACGCTATCGCTCCAGCCGGTTTTCATTTTTAATTGAATCATCTTGAGATACACAGTTACAAAGTTGTTCATGAGTGGGTTTCAGTCATACAATGTTCCAACACCCATTCTTTCACCAATGTATATTACCCCTCATCAATGTCCCCAGCTTCTCTATGCCCCTCCCCCCTTCCCCCACCCTTCTCATTTCTTCTTCTCTCCTTCTCTTTCCTTTTGGGAATTATGGTTTGCAATGCAGATACTAAAAGGTAATCAAATATATCCCTTTATCTACTTTCAGTATTCAGTTATTTTCCAGAGTGATTATTTCCAACTATCACTGTCATAGTGGGCCCTTCTCTATCCTAACTACAATCTCAAAGTTCTTGCCACCAAAAGTAGTATGTAATATTGAGTATTTTAAGCATCCTCAGAGTAGAGATGCTTTCCTGAAACCTACAGGTAGGAGAAGGGGGAAGAAAGGGAGAACGATTAAAAAAAAAATCAACCCAAGAAGCCCATTTCCTCTCATCTTTTTGGTTTGCTTGTTCTGTTTGGAGAGCTCAATAGGGAGCGCTCAGGGCTTACTCCTGGCTCTATTCTCAGGGATCAGATCACTCCTGGCCAACCTAGGGGACCATATAGAGTGCCAGGAACTGAATCCGGGTAGGCTGTGTGCAAGGCAAGTGCCTTTCCCACTGTACTTACTATCATTCAGACTCCAAGCTGGTTCCCTCTAGATGAGAATACTTTTTTGTCTTGAGGGGCCTTCCCAGTGGGGTGGGGCAGACTGGGGATACATTTGGCAGTGTTCAAGGAATCTTGTGGTAACAAGGATTGAACCCCGGACCTCATGAATTCAAGGCATGTGTTTCAGCCCTTTGAGCTATTTCCCCAGTGCCAAGCAGCACACTTTGTGAGAAACAAGGAGAGGGAGCCTGAGCTACAGAAATTCATCCCCAGTTAATGTTGGGGCACAGATACTAAGTTTAAAGCAACAATGACTGTGAGACTAGCAGCCCGAGAGGGCACCCAGTCTACCAGGATGGTTATGGTGGCCCCTGATGGGCAGGTTCTTCTTCTTGGGTCTTAGCCCTTCCAGCATGGTTGGTTGAGAATCACTGGAAATGTCCCCTGGACCTTCTGAGAACCCCTTATGGGTCCACTCCCAAGAATATGTGAAACAGTACAAATAGATTTATTTTTTTTAATCTATAGTGAAGCCATCCTTCAACAACAAGTAACCTGAGAGCTCCAACTATATATTGAAACTTACTTTACAAAATCTTAAGAACAGCAAAAAATATATATGTCTAGACGATTTTGAACAGTGTGCTTAAATTGAAGACTGTTTTGTCCCACCTATAAAAGGGTTTTCCTAATGAATTTTTTTTCTTTCTTTCCTTTTTTTTTGTAATTGAGGAAAGAAGCCACAGTCTCCATTAGTTCCTAAAGACGATTTCACTTTGCTGGGGCCAGGTTGATGGTACAGCAGGTAAGGTATTTCCTTGCACGTAGCTAACCTGGGTTCAATCCTTGGCTTCCCATATGGTCCCCAGAGCACTGCCAGGAGTGATCCTAACTGAACACAGAGCAAGGAATAACCTCTGAGCATTGTAGGATGTGGCCCAAAAAACAAAAGCACAGATTATTTTACTTTGTTAATCAATTTTGTCCCACAGGCTTAACAGCGTCATTAACAGCATTATTATATATAATCTTTTAAAGCAACAAACAAACATTGAATAGTTTCTGAGGATTAGTAAAACCTTAACTGGGAGTCTTTCATGAATCACAATCAAGTCCTTTCTGTCTCTCTTTCACAGAAAATATTCTCTCTCTCCTCTCTCTCTCTTTCTCTTTCTCTCTCTCTCTCTTTCTCTCTCACACACACATACACACACCACACATACACATGAACTGCAATCAGATTGTCACACACATGAATTTCAATCAGGTTATCACAAAAATACATTACTTTCCAAAGTTACAAAATGTATATAGAATTGCAAATCCAAATCAGAGTTAAATTTAAAACATATAGGGTATGGCATTTGCCTTGCACATGACCAACCCAGGTTCAACTAGCATCCTATATGGTTCCTCCAAGCAACACCAGGAGTAATCCCTGAGTGCAGAGCCACAAGTAACCCCTGAGCATCGCGGTGACCCAAAAAGCAAAAGCAAATAATAACAATTAAAAAATAAAGTACATGGGGCTGGAGCAATAGCACAGCGGGTAGGACGTTTGCCTTGCACGCAGCTGACCAAGGTTCGATTCCCAGCATCCCATATGGTCCCCCAAGCACTGTCAGGAGTAATTCCTGAGTGCATGAACCAGGAGTAACTCCTGTGCATCGCTGGGTGTGACCCAAAAAGCAAAAAAAAAAGTACATGACCATAGCAAATGCATCTCTGTAAACTTGCTTACAATAAAAAGTCAACAATATATCACTACTTGAGGCTGTAGCAATAGTATGTGGGTAGGGCATTTGCCTTGCATACACTGACCCCATGTTCGATCCCCAGCATGCCAGATGTCTCCTCAGCACTGCCACACTGCCAGGAGTAATTCCTGAATGCAGAGTCAGGAGTAACCCCTGAGTGTTGCCAGGTGTGACTATATATATATATATATATATATATATATATATATATGTATATATACACATATATACCACTAATTGTTACATTTCAGTGCACTTTTAGATGTCAAGTATCCTCAAAAGTTGTTGGAATTACACAAACTTCACTTTAAAAAAGGAGGTTTTTGTGTTACATCTGGAGCTGCCTTCAGCAAGAGGATCAACAGGGGTGGGTCTGCATGCAAAGCAGGCAACCCAAACCCTGAACTCTCTGGCCCACAAACTTTATTTTATCATTGCTTTCAAAAGTATCTGAAGCTCTATAATAGAAAACAAGCTCGAACTATGATTTCCTGAGGCCTGACAGGTATTTAAAAAGTAAAAAAATAATAATCTTAAATCTGATTGTATTAACAGAGAATTCACTACATGTATAAAACAGTTACAGATGCTAAGCAAGATATATCAATCTTGTAAGCCCCATACCAATGAGAAAAACTGTTTCAAGTAGCTATGATAAATTAAACTAATGAAGTTGTGGCCTTCACTCTCTTCTATGCATCTAAAACTGAAAGAGGAAAAAGAAAATTCTAATTTTCTATCATGAAATAAACAATAAAAAGAAACCTTCCTTTATACATGTTTCAAACATCCCATTTAGTGTCTGAATAAAAACGCAGCATAAAGGAAAACAAACTTCTAAATTATTGATTCCTTTCAGTATATTTCCATTTTGGACAGATTACAATATGGCATTCAAAACCACACACATTATTTGAAAAAAGTTTAGATAAATTCTAAAGGTAAGTCATAAATAATATTTGACATCATTACTACTTCTTTATTTAAAAAAAAGAAGAAATCAGGCAATGGCATTCAATTCCCTCAGTACTTTAAAATCAATCTCTCCTCTCTCTCTTCCCGGTAAATGCATGCCCACTCCTTTTAGTTGAAAGAAAACATCAAACACGCGTTTGTGATCTAGAAAATCAGTGCTTAAAAACCAGTGCAACTGTTTTCCATGGCACAGAATCTAGAGCGGTAACAAAACAGCAGATCGTCAAGGGTGTGCGTGTGTGTGTGGGTGTGTGTGTATGTGCCCATTCATAATAACGTGAGCCTCACCCCACACACAAAAGCTCGATTCCTACTAAGTACTAAAACACCTTCACGTGACCAACCGGCTATTATAAAGTTGACCTCTTTAACGTTCAAACAAAGAACAATAATTTCCGAGGCCAGGAACGAGAAGAATTAATGCCGGGATGGCTGCCACCTAGCAACTCTCATTGAAAACAAAGTACAACTCAATGTCATCGTTTACCTCCAATATTGCCACTACTGAAACAAAATAAACTTGGCTGTGGGATAAAGCACCCCGGCATGGGAAGGATGATTTACTTCATGGAACAGTGCATGTGCATGGAGTCTTTTGTCCCTCCCACCGCATCCCAGGTGCCAAGTGAATCGGTAATCGAAGCAAAAAGGCGGACAAGCCCCTCAGGTCATTGCTTGGCACTCCAAGCACCAGAAAGTCGTGGCCTCCGTGGCAGTGACTATACAACAAACGGGTTCTAGTATATTTCGGCGGAGGGTGTGTGTGTGTGTGTGTGTGTGTGTGTGTGTGTGTTGGGGGGGGGGGGGCTCGGTGTGCGTGTGTGCGGTGTGTGTGTGGGGGGGGGGGGCCTCAGTGGGAAAGCGGCGCTCGGTAGCTCGATATGGCCCGAGACCAGCCTGGGTTCAGTCCTGGTACCAGCAGCAGCCTGGATCCAAGTGTTGCTATGTGGGTCACCCAGAGCGAGAGAAGCTTCGTGACCCTGCAAGTTCCGGGACGACACTCAATGCTTGCGAGCAAAAGCCCTTGGGGAAAAAAACCACGGAGCTCGTGGCCGTCTCCGAGACCTAGTGAGTGAGTGTGGCACGAGCCCAGGGCGTGGGCGGCGACCGCGGAGCCTCGGGTACCCCTCCTCGCCGCGCCAGAGTCGGTCACTCTGCTCCGGGTGCGGCAGGCGGCGGCGGTCAGGACTGCGGGAGGGCGGGGCCCGGGTCTCTCCGAACGGAGCCCAGAGGGGTTTTTTAGGGGGGGTGTGTCCTACCTGGGCCGGGCCGACGCAGAGATTTCGGGCAGAGGGCTAGGGTCCAGCTCAGGGCCGGGACCGGCAGACGTCAACCCTCGGCAGGAACGGCCGCCGCCGCCTGCCCATCCCCCGCCGCCCAGTGCGGCGGGACCCGAGCACGGCTTTCAGGGCCCGCGGGCTCGCCGGTTCCCTCGGGCACCGTTCGCGTCTACTGCCGGCGGCGGCGGCGGCTGCTGCTGCCGCTGTTAGTGCCGCTGCAGGCCACCCCCAGCCGCTGCTCTCGTGCCAGCCCCTGCTCCTCCTCCTGCCGCCGCCGCCGCCGCCGCGTCCCCACCGCTCCCATCGCCGCTGCGGCGACTACTGCAGCGCCCGCTGACCCGACCCGACGTTATTCTCCCCCTTCGCAACCCCGGGCACAGCCTAGCCCACCTGCCTTGCCAGGGCGCACGCCCACCTTTCCACCACGGGTGCTGATTGGAGAGCGCGTACCAAGCCCGCCACGTCGGTTGGTCGACTCCATTGCCTATCACGAAGGAGGCGGAGACTCCGGCCGAGAGCGTCTCCGCCCCCGTCCCCCCCACCGGAGAGTTGCCGCTATCTTCAGGTTTGCCTGAGAGGGCGAGGTACCGGGAAGGGAGCATCACAATGGCAGTGCGCGTGCGCACGGGGATTCTGGGCCTCGTAGTTCCAGCCCCGCCGCAAACGCCCGCCCTTCGCCAGACACAAGTCGGGCTTCGGAGCCCTGCTCGCTCCGCCTGGCTCTTCTGGGAGCTTGCTTCTAGAGACGTGGTTGACTCCAGGGGTGGGCTTTTCAGAGGGAGATCGAAAGTGCCCTTTCGCCCTACGAATCCGCGCACCCTGGTGTAGCAAGTCACCACGAAGGGGCCCACGTCTTGAGGTCATACCACCGCCTGGGAACCCGCGCTACCAGGATCTGGCAGATCTGCGCTGTCCCCAGGAGCGCCTAACGAGGAAGCTCATCACCCCTGGGGTCCCTGGGAGAGGCCTAGAGGTGTAAGAGAAACGAAGACAGACCCCGTTAAGTGTTGTCAGCCTGGAGCTTGGTTTTCACAACCCACGAAGAATGAGGTTCCCTCTTCCAGAATAGGTTTCAGTGAGGGGCTCCAGAGAGACCCTTCTGCGAGTCTTGAGCAAGAGGACGCGGGAGTCCTTGGAAGATTTTTAAAGAAAAGCAAAGAGGGCGGAGCAATGTGATTGCTGGCGTCGGATACCTTTCCACTTGGTATTGTGCCCAGCTTGAGACTGGAGCGGTGGTACAGCGGGTAGGGCGTTTGCCTTGCACGCAGTGCACCCGGGTTCGATCTCCAACGTCCCATATGGTCCTCTGAGCCTCACTAGAAATGGTCCCTGGGCGCAGAACCAGGAGTCAGCCCTGACCACCGCCCGGTGTGCCCCCCAAACTAAAATAATAAGTTTGTCTAGCTCTTAGATGAAAAAGAAACTGCTCCCAAACTTAACCATCTCAAACTCAGAGGTTGAACAATTCCCCTCCAAAACTATAAAACCAATTGACTGAACCCAAACACAAGCCACCTGAGTCCAGATTTTGTGGTTAGTTTCGTTCTTTTTATATAATAAACAGTGATTTTTAGAAGCCTGCGATAAGAAGATGCAAAGAATTATAAGGCTCATTTTAAGGTTGCCTTTTTCTTTTTTTCCTCAAAAGACATCTTGAAGTAAAACCGATTAAGGATATAGAAGGGGTAAAGATGGATGCTATATTCAATCTCAGAACTGTTGTTGAATCTGTTTCTTCTTATTCAGGAAATGACACTGTCCCTATACATTCTTTTTTAAAAATAAAACAGCAGGCACCTCTACTGCCGGTCATGGGTCATGTCCAGATCCCTGAATTAAAAAGCAGGACTAAATGTACATTAAAGACAATTGATGATGCAGCTCATCTTGTTCCATTCAGATTTAGAGAAGTTGCCAAATTGTGTTCTTTCTGCTGATTAAAACCACAAGTTACTTTTTTCATTACTTTGCCTAACAATATAGTGCACCCCAGAGTATTGGTCAGGCAAATCATTTTAATTCCTTTGATTTAGGGTTTCTGTAAATGCTTTTTTGTTCCCTCTTCCCTCCATTTGTTGTTTTAATGTGTGGGGGGGGGGGGGATCACACACTTGGTTGTGGGAGTACATTATACATCTGGCTGATCGGTGCACAACTGATTTTGGGGATTCACCCACAGTCTCACATTCAGTGAGGTGGGGCAAGGCAGACCTTACACCTGAGAAAACTGGTGCTATACCATTGAGCCACACAGCCCAGCCCTCTCTACTCTCCTTCAAAATGAAAGAAATAGGCCAAGGATGTGGCTTGGTGATACAGCACTTTCCTAGGTTCGATCCCTGGTTCCACAAAAATAAAAAATAAACAAGTTGACAGGGAAATGTTTAGATTCATTGACATGACACCTAGAAATATTTCCAGTAACTAATTCTCTAAAAAGAGTGTTATTCACTTAGCAATATAGTGCATCTGTTTTAAAACTACCCAGATATAATCTCTATGATCATGGGTAAGGGTTTCATGAATTACTTCTCCAAAGAAGTAACATTTTGTTTATTTTACATGAGTAGGGGGAAAATGAGTGAGTAGGTAGATTTGATTCTCCAAATCAGTGTTTCAACTGGGAGTCATGCACCTCCCTATGGGACCCCAGAATATTTCAAGGGGAGCACAACGGAGAAAATTCCATAATAGGAGCCCATGGCACAAGACTAGGGAGCTAACTAGTAGGAAATGGGATCACAAGCAGAAAACACGAACAGAAGGGGGCCAATTTTGGGGGGAAATCTGAAAAACATTGCTCCAAATGCTGGGGAAGTTATTTTATGATAGCCTCATTTGCAAATTCACTGTCACTGTCACTGTCCTCCCATTGTTCATCAATTTGCTCAAGTGGGCCCAGTAACATTGTGAGACTTCTTGTTACTGTGTTTTGGCATATCAAATACAACATGGGGAGCTTGCCAGGCTTTGCCGTGTGGGCGAGATACTCTCGGTATCTTCCGGGCTCTCCGACAGAGGCAGAGAAATCGAACCCAGCTTGGTTGGGCCGGCTGCGCGCAAGGCAAACACCCTACCGCTGTGCTATCACTCCAGCCCAGGCCAGCATATGTATGAGTATTAATATATTACTATGAAAGGCCTGTACTTTTTAAAATGTACAGCCCCTGGTCATCACAACAACCACCAAGAATGTAAAGGGGAGGAGAAAATTTTTAAGTAAGAAATGAATATTCTATCCAAAAGCATGACGATGCTGCCTTATACTTGCTTTCTCATTATAATACTATAGCTAACCTGTGCAGTTCTTACTTAGCTGTAAATCTGATTTTATGTATTGTCTTCTACCCTTTCTTGAGGGGTTGAGTGTTTTGGGCTACACACAGTGGTTCTCAAAGGCTAGTCCTGGCTAAGTATTAAGGGGTCACCCCAGGCAGTGTTCAAGGTACCATATGTGGTGCCTCCAAAGCCAGCCACATGCAAGGAAAATTTCTTATCTCCTAAACTCTCTTTCAGAGAGAGTTAATTTTAACAATAAAATTAACAAAATAAAAAAATATATCTTAGAGGAAAATCAATAAAATTTTAAAAACTCTAACAGGACAGACAAAGATAAGAATATATAGTATACAAATTACCAAATATCAGGAATGAAGCAAAGGATATTTCTACAAATCCCACAGTTGGAAAAAGAATGATAATACTATAACTTTTGGTTCATAAATTCAACAACTTAGAAGAAATTGACTTATTATTTCAAGATCACAAACTACTGGACACATCTGAATAGTTCATAGTGCATCAAAGAGGTTTAATGTTATTTAACCCTCTAAAAGGAAATCATATAGTAGAAATAATTCTCAAAAAAAAAAGCATGTGTGTGTGAGGGGTCAGAGCAGAAAGGAATAAGTGTTGGGGTTCTTTGGGGAGAGAGTTGTGTACATAGGTGATGGGTATGGTGTTGAAGTTATGTAAACCATTAGCAGCATTGTAACAGAAAATCATTCACAATATTGTAAATCATAATTCCTAGATCAATTAAAAAATGAAGGTTTAATAAATCAAAACTGAGACAAACCTAAAAATTTAATCCACTCATTTTGGTGTATGTTTTATATAAGACTGTCATTTTATTTTCATTAATAAATACTTTCCTCAGAATTATAAAAAAAATAAAATAAAAGGAAATCATAGATCTAAATGTTTTCACTAGAAAATTCCACCAAAAATTATTTTTGGCTTTTTTGGGTCACACCTGGCAATGCACAGGGGTTACTTCTGGCTCATAAAGTCAGGAATTACTCCTGCCGCTGCTCAGGTGACCATATGAGATGCTGGAAATCAAACCAGTACCTGGAAGAGTCCCGACTGTTGACTAAGTGGAATTTGCAAATTCATGAAGTATAAAAGATAAAGAGAACATGTGAAAAGCAGTCCAGTGGTTCAGGGTAGAGTGTGCTTTGCTATTTTTTTTAGTGCACTGCATAAAGAAATGTCCTATGATGAGCATCTTTAGAATTCAGTGTAGCTCAAGGTAAGGTTATGAAAAGGATTATATGGTGACAACTGATGTCTTAAAATTTAGAATCCTGGGAATTAAACTGCTAGAAAAATAGCTTCCCAGGCTTTCCTTTTTCCAATTTTAGAATTCTTGGTTTGTCTCAAGAGATCATTTTAGATATTGTTGAGATTAATGGTAAGATGATGTATTATTAAAGAGCTAGTATCAGAACACAGGAATCCCCTCTGACATATTTAAAAATAAACAAGATATTGAGCCTCCAAAAGTGGCCTCTTCCTTCTTATGTCTTCACTCTTCTATCCTCCCTCTCATTGCTGATCTGTGTATCAGTCAATTGCCAGAAATTATGATGTGAAAAAAAATTATGGTGTGATAAATTCCAAAGCTAGGTTATAAATGGTGTTGAAACTTTAGTTTTATTCCTTCTTGAATCACTTATTGAAGTGGAAATCTGTTACTGTTACATAGAGACACTCAAGCAGTTCCATGGAGACATTACCTGGCACGGTACTGAGGTGTTATGCCAGTATAATACAACAGCTATGTTGGTAAACCAGTCTTGAAAATAAATCCCTCATCCCCACTCAAACTTTCAGATGACTGATTGCAAGCCCAAGTGGCATTTTGATTCTTCTTGATGAATCATTCGATTAAACAATGACCAAAGTGCAAATCATAAATATAAATGCTTGCTGTTGGTTTCAGCATTAAGTTCTGGAGTACTTTATCATGCAGAAATTGATTGCTAATAGTTATGATCTATAAAATGGGAGAAAAGTTTCCAATCTAGAAATGTGTGCTCTGGATAACTGAGTCTGAAGGAATGAGACTGATTCTAGGAGTCGA